TCCTTTTCAAAAACATCATCCCACAAATAAAGTACCATACAAAAATGTAAATCAACTGAATAACTGATCAGCTTTAGCCCGAATCCAAATAACGATAATGGTAAATACTTTATTTATTCATTTATAGATACAGAAATAATCACGCTGCGTCAGTAGTAATGCTACATTAATTACGAGTGCTTAATTTATTGCCGTATATTGCTTCAATGAGGCGCACCACCAACTGCTCAGTACGTTTGTCTTTGTCGAATCGCGGTAAGAATTCTACCAGTTCGGTTACTGCAATTGAATTGGTTATGCATAACGACATAAGGATTAGATAGATAGACGAATGAACTAACACAAAAGATTTTTGAGATTGGCCTTTGATAAGGCGTTGATGAATTGGTTGGCGACAATACCACCGCGTTCGGGTGTGCCCACGGCAGGTGCATCCTTTACATCGAATCCATCCATGTCGATGCTCATCCCGAATCCGACCGTTTTGTTAGACGCGATCTTGATCGCCTCGTTCAACACCTTCATTCAATTGTATCTCAGCCTTATGCAATCAAAACAAATGAAATCGCTTATGCAAATTCCATCCATTGGCACGTTGACTGCATTTACGTTCCATCAATAATAAACAAATCACTCACCTTCTCAATACCCAATTTATCCACATCACTCTGATAAAATACCTTTGCACCAACTGACTGAACGAATTTAATTTCAGCGGGTTCAAAACTTCTCGATCCGATAAAAACAAGATTCGCTGGATTGATCTTGGGATGTTTATCGTAAATCGACTTCAAACGTTCATCGCCGTAACCGAGCAGATGAGCAACTGGCATTCCATGAACATTACCTTAACCAACACTTCTGTAAAATGAACTGAGCAGTTGAGATAAGAACAAACCAGTATCACTCGTCAAAGGAGTATGTGCGTCGAGATGTGCATCCACCCAAATCAGACCGATGTCCGACTTATCGCCGTGATGTTTGCTCAATGCTGCATACAATCCACTCCAGGTTCCAATCGCACAACTGTGGTCACCTCCTATCACCACTGTTTCATTGTTTTGCGTCAACGACTCATTCACCAGTCTTGCTAAGTGCCGTGTCGTTTCAGTTATACCTTTAATGCGATTCACACTAACCATTATAATATCATAACTATGACCATAACACACACCTGGTATCGCTTTCTTCTGTCGTCCAGTGGGTGTTTCATAGATGATTCCAGTCCACTGATGATTTATTTTACAGTTCTTGAGAATCGTCGAATTCTTCATGAGATCCGCAGCCTGTTCACATCCCAACTGCCTACCACCCACACCATTTGCACATCCAATGATTTTTATTAAATTCCTTCAATTTCATTTGTAAATGCATCATCTCGTAGCAAATCATAACGATTCCATGAATTAAGGTAATGTTAGTTAAGGTAATGTTCATGGAATGCCAAACGATTCGAACGAATAAACCTGTTGGAATTGTTCGATGATGATAGCAAAGATTTGGATCGGCGTGAACATATGGACGCGATGAATCGCTTGCAAAACATTGTATCGGCAATGAACCAAGCAAGTTTCTTATTGTATCGGTCAAACCGTTTTTCACTTAAACAAGTTAATAAATGAATCAAATTAGTGATTTGATTTTATTACATTCTGTGCAGATTTATTCAAATTTAAAAATTCAACAAGATGTGATCAGTTCCATAATTCATAAACAAAAAGAGTGCGAATCGAGTTATACCAACAAGTTATTGTGGTACCAATTAAAACGCTGATATTGATAAGTTGTAACTGATCACGAAATATTACATACATCACCTGAGGAGAGATTAAAAAACAATAGCAGCAGTAGCAGTGAAACAAAAAATAGTACTGAGAGATCAGTGACCAAGTATAACTAATTAGAGTATTATAGTAATAACAAATTTCCAACTGTAAACAAAGCGGGTATAAAGAAAAGGAAGAGGAGGGAGTTCCCAGGAATTTGAAATAACCCGTTCGGACGGGGAATGAGTAGTGAAGTGATCTGTGAAGTGTCAAATGCCATGTGATATCCCGACTGGGGATGACCTCGTCGCGGGATGAGCAGAGTGGATATACAATCACAATAGTATCACAACGCGATAGATAATTGCGTCGTTACGGATTACCGAATGAGATTAATCAGATATGTCGTGAATAATTATCATCTCAGAAATGAATGTCATCGTATTCCCCATATCAACACATTAGATCACGTGCACATGGGGTTTCCCTTCCATCAATCGCTATTACATATCTAATCTCATCTCATTTCGTACAGTACATTATAAT